CGCGGACGTAAGGTGCATTTTGATTTAATACGCGCGCTGCAATAATTTTTGTCGACGCTTTATTCGGTAGGCTAATTTCACGAAGGTCGCTTCCTAAGCGTGCAAAGTATTATTATGAACATTAGCGTCATTGTAACTGGGTTTACGCCATTGAGTTATATATAAATCAATGGTTTACGCTCACAAGTTTGCTATCAGAGAGTGATGATCCTTCTGTTCTTGTAACTGTTAGTATTTAAGGGGAAATATAACCTCAAATGGCTTAGCAAGATCCTCCGTTATGCGGAAAATATTGCAGCATTAATTTTGAAATAAATATATGGTAAAGTTGAGGATTAATGTTAAGGATTATCTTAGACAAAAACACGATTCCGTAAAATTTTCTCGATAGAAAAAAAATCCGAAGTTTCCTCCAAAATAAACAATAAACCGCTTTTATTCATAAAATACTTTAAATAAGATCATGAAACTTTGCATACTTACTGAACTAACTATAACGCAATGCTTATGTTATTTACTTTTTTACAAATACCATAATTTTCACTGTAGAAAGAAATTACCTAAACTATCGGCCTCTTGAAGTGTGATTCCTGTGTCGCCCCGTTACTATCGCTTATGCTTTTGGAGGGAGAAGTTGTGTCGCTTACGATCAGAATACATATTACGCAACAGGACGACGTAAAATTAAAACGGGAAATAACCGTGATAAAAATATGAAGCGATTGGCTTGGTGTTAAGAAACAGGCATAAATATTATAAACTTAATGAAATAAGTGTCTAACGACCTATCTATCTACTTACAGTATTAGTGATTACAAACATGTCGGTACATAGCATACGACGCGCGGGGAAGTGGGGGCGAAATTAGAATTTAAGCTGACTTACTATATCCCCTTAATTTGTGATACAATCGACTAAACATTTATATAGGTAGGTACCTAGGTACTATAATGTCAACTGTCAAAATGGCGTCGATAAAACATTGCCCTTTTGGCCCTTTATTATTTAATTGACCGATTAAGAGCTATCGTATCACAAAGACACATTTTTGAGTTACAAGAATTGTGTGTGTGTGTGTGTGTGTGTGTGTGTGTGAAGTGACCACATTAACCGGATGACCATATTACCCCAGCCATGCCTCACGTACTTTAATATTTTGTGAGAGCGCATTTCTTCCTCGGTCGAGCCGAACTATTCGTGCTACAACCATAACATCGCTGCAGCGTGGCTCTACCATAAAAACCATATTTATGTTCATAAACAAAACAATCATGAATCAAATAACTTTATTCAAAACAAACAAACGACCTTAACTTTAATAAAATTTGCACGCTCACTCACAATCTCGATCTAAGCAAATTCCATTGGCGTGTGATAATTTACAATATTACAATGTTCTGTGTACAATCAATGGAGAACTTTATAATAAACGTGCTGCGCTCAGTAAGTTGTCGTAAGTTATACATTTTGTTATTTTGAACTTTTGTGACATAATTAGTAAACAATTTTAGGTAGGTACCTATAAAATAGGAAAGTCATTTTGTTACCATATTGTATGGTGAAAACAAAGAAAATTTTGAAATAAATTAAGTTCATACCTTCCCCATAGAATGTCTCATAGCGGCGGTATTTGCCATATCTCCCTGGTTTAGAAGGCGGGTTTCCAGCCGCATTTACTTACCTATTGTTTATCAGAAAGATACTGCTACTCTTCTCCTATTTTATTATCGTCTGTCGCGTCTTACACAAGATAGTTAGCGGTTAGCTGGCTAAAATGAATATTGTAATTTTCTTTAAAGACATTACTCCAACACTAAAACATAACGCAATAAGAGGCATTCAATCTTACTGCCCAGGGTTGCCACCCCTGCATTTGGATTCTTAATCGAGGGTAAACGTAGTCTGTTTATGAGCCCCAAATCAACTTACAGTACTATTCTTTTCCTATTATTTATTGTGTGCCATATGCCGTTTATCTACTTATGTGGTAAGGTGGCCTGTGTGCTCGATTCTTTTTTTTTCTTTATTAGGAATAACAAACAATTGTACAATATAATCTTATTATTAAACACAATACTATATTTAAGCTTAATAATCATACAATCAACACCGTTATCCACATATTACAACTGGGTCTGTGTACGTAACAATTAAAAATTAAAATATAATGTTCTATTAAAAACGACCCGTTCACCAATAAATACAGAGAAAAACAAGCTAATTTACACATATGCATGTACATGTGCACGCATATACATACACACACATATACAAACATATTCATACACGCACATACACATACACATATATAGATAATACATAGATGTGAAAAATTAAATTTAACCTAAATAAGGAATTCACTAACTTGCATCAAATTCAGATAGAACCTCATACACAGCTTTTTATATCTAGAAAAAGTTAATCCAAAGATATCTATGTCATTAAATTTGTTGTTGTATAATTCCATTATACGATTTAGAGGTGCACGTGCACCAGCGTTTGTTTTACTTGGTTTTGGAGCGAAAATTTGATGTGAATGGAGCTCACGTATACGCTTCGAGGGACTGGGTATACGAATGTATATTTGATTAGTGAGTTCATTACAATCAAATTTGTTATGGCAGATTTTGTAAAGAAAAGTTTGATCCAAGAGCATCCTTTTCGATTCTAAAGAAAGAACACTAAATTTTCTTAATAAAAGTTCATAACATTCATTATAATTACTTTTAAAGCATTTGTACATTGTAGATTTTAAAAATTTTCGTTGAACACGCTCCAACTGTAAACTATATTTACTATATATTGGACTCCATATAACTGATGCATATTCAACATGTGATCTTATTAGAGATTTATATAAAGTTAAAAATGTGGTGGGATGTTTGAAGGAAGAACATGTCCGCATAACAAAACCATAAAATTGAAAGGCTTTATAGGTTATGTGCGTTACGTGTTCATCAAAGTGTAATTTAGAGTCCAAATACAATCCTAGATCCCTGATTAAAGATACTGATTCCAACGAAACGATACACCCTTACATCTATCAAAAATGTTAATTAATAATGTTGGAAGCACCTTTTAATTTTAGAATAAATTTAATCTTGGCATAGGTTTTTAAGTCAAGGTTCATAAACTGGCGATTTTATTTTTAAATAGTTAAGTACAGCAGTAAGACAAATTAACAATATTTTTTATTTTAACAACCTAAATGTGAATGATAGCTATTATTGTTTTGTAATCTTTCAATTTTATTTTAGGCAGATAGCAGTAATTTTTATTTATAAAAGAAAGGAAGATCGGGATTAATATAATGCAGTGAAGGAATTTATCCCTTCTTCTTTTCAATCAGTAACATTACAATGAAGCCAGTACAGCGATAATTAATAATTTAAGTAAGCGATAAAACGATTATAGTAAAGTTATATACCTATACTGTTTTACGACTCATAATAAAAAGATCTTAAAAGTTACCAATTGCAATAATTAAAGTTGCATTATAATTAAAATAATATGAATTCACACCTAAGAATAATATGATGGCATTTTAAGTGGGAGATCTCAAGACCGAACTTCATGCACCAGGTTTCGGTGACGGTACCTATACCTTCTCCGATGTTGGTACCACCCGCGCCCAGTGTTGCAAGCAATCACGTACTGAGCTAAGGAACCAAATTTAGCACTTTTTGTGTAAAAATCACTGAATTATAAAAATAGCCTATTTACCAACGTAGAACTTAATAAAGCATTCAAATGACAACCATGCCTTATTACTACTTCATTATCTTCATCAATCAATCTTATATCTAGTAATAATGTTTGGAATTAAGTATTTGTATAAATAATTATTAGAAGAAAAGATAGCTTTTAGTTTATTTTTAAAGATTTTGTATTGGAATGATAGTGGAATGTTGAATGGAGTAAACACTCTTAAAGTCTAAAAAAAATATTTTTTTAGAATTTATGAGTGTTATCAATACTAAATGAGAATTTCAATGTTGAAAGAGTTTTCAGTTTAATTTAGTTTTAACAATAAGAAAGGAGTTAAAGTATAAAGTGAACTTTGAGTTCACTTAAACTAAGCAATATCAACATAATAGAGCAGATAAGGTAAAAATCACGCATGGAAATTAAAATTATATACACCTTTAGATTAGGAAAAGTCTGCATTTACTGGTAAATTATAGTTATTAACCAACTATATAAGAAAATTTTAATTTAGTTTATTGATGATCATAGAACTATGAACTAGACGTCTCGCATTTTTAACGCCGCTCCCTTACGTTGATTTAAATATTTTCGTCTATAGCAAATGGGATCAACGGCTATATTACATCGGAAGCAATAGAGATCAGCAAAGGAAAACGGTGAATTTAAATGGTCAACTACAATCATCTTTTTGTCTTAATTTTAACAATAAAGTAATCGCTACAGTTTCGTCTAAACGTCTGTTGTCGTCTTGCTTTCCGGACTTAGCCGTCTATTCTCTTCGGTACAACATAATATTATGAACAGATTTTTTTTTATAGGATAGGGTGACAAACGAGCACACAGTCCACCTGATGGTAAGTGGTTGCTGCGGCCCATAGACATCTACATCTATCCTCCATTACAAATCAAAATGCCAGTAAAAAGGGTCTCCGGTTCTCTACACTCACCATACGAAATACAGCAGCATTAAGCTACTATTTCACGCTGGTATTCTGTGAGAGCGTGGTCCTTCCCCGGTCGAGCCGACCCATTCGTGCTACAACTATACTACTAATATAATTGCAGCATGGCTCTACCACGTATAAAAGATTAAACATAATATCTTATTATGGATTTAAATTAGTTGAATATAGATAACGAACTAAAGTTCGATTCCAACATCGTATTATTAGATACCAATTAAAAAGATAATATCTTAGAATATTTATAAGCAAGCCATTATTTATACTCTAAGGGTAATAGTAAAGGCTATAATAAATTTGTAAATTCTTAGAATTCTAGCACTTTTTAAAATGTCATTAGCATCAGTCCGTGTTATTGAGTTGGCAACACTGCCCGTGCCCGCCGCCGCAAACCGCTCCGCTCCGCCGTCTGTCAGTCACACTCAGTCCACCGCGCTCCGCCGCGCTGTTTGTACGCGTGAGGAGTTGTTTTATGCCGTACCCGTTTTATACCGCTTCAACATTGGACTTAGAACTTGTGCAAACAAATACCCCGCTCGTGATTTAAAACATTTTGTGCTAAACAAGAGTGAACTCAGAACTGTGTGATACATAGAAACAGTGTTAGAAATAAAAATAATCAGTCACATAATCTCTTCTAAGCATCTCCGTGGTACGATCAACGTCGTGTGAGTATTCTAAAGTTATTTAACTGTACTTTCTTTCCATAGTTTGACGTGCTTCTAAGATGTGCGTATTCGCGGAAAAAACCTGTCGTCTCGATTGATTGGACACAGCGGACTGTTTTGTATGAAAATACGACAACTGGGTCGTCATTTTTGTTTGTTATTCAAATACTAATTTATATAGGAGTGCATTGCTTTGCTTATACCTACCTAAGTTGAAACAGTTTTTCGGCATCGCGAAAGCGAGGAGAGGAAAAGTGTTTTTTTTTTAAGATGATCGCGCAAAACTCCTACCTGAGTTTTGGGATGAGCCGACGTGGCTATCTGTATCAAATTGTTGGTATTGTTTTTTTTTTCAACTTGTAATTCAAGCACAAGCGAAATATATACTTAAATAGCGGTTTTGAACACATGTTTGTCATGTTGTAGTTTTTCATGAATTCGTTACCGCCTATCAAAAGTCAGCTGCGGCCCATAGGCCTCCCCCATAGACTACCTCATGGGGAAGATTTTGCTATAGTTGCCACGCTTGGTAGGCAGGTCAGGAACCGCAGTTATTTATTATTTTTAGTTGTTATGAGGAAGATGCCGATGCTGATATCCTGTTTCAATTTCACTCTATCGCCTCTTACGAGACCTTCGGCAGGATAGGGGGTTATAGTCATAGGTTTGTGGATATTAAATACGCCGCCTTTACGCAGTGCACTCAATTGTAGTGATAGTATATTATGGCATATGAATCTAAAATGTGGACCTTCACCGGTGTTTGTATGAGTAATCTCAAGGTCCCTTAGCCAACTAAACGAAGGCTATGATCTGAGTTTCTTTGCGTGATGGAACTCGAAATGAAGATGTTCGCAGTATAATCAGAGTAAAGTGGTCCAACGGATCAGTAAGCTGAAGTGGCATTTAGCTGCCGTATAGCTCTAAGAACTGGCAACGGATGTTGAAGAAAGATCCTCCAGTGGCAGCCTCGTACTGATAATCAGTGTGGGGTTGCCTCCCCCCCCCCCAAGCTGATGCAGTGACGACCTGGTAACACATGCAGGAAGTCGATCGATGCAGGTGGCTCAGGATCATGTTTTGTGGCATTACTTAGGGGATGTTCAGAAGTTGACTTGTGAAGGAGATGTAATGATAATGATGATTATTTACTTTTTAGTATGAATTTAAAAACGTGACAGAGGGAAATTAAAACAAATGCAGCATCTTCCTGATAACGACTCAAAATATTTAAAAAATTGCGGCCGCCAATTCGCCTTCAACTATGGCAAAATCTCTATGAGGTAATCTATCCTCTGATCTAATCTAATCCCACGTTCAGCCGTGGACTTTTATAGGCTGTAATGGGTGAATGAATTTAAAACCAACTTATAATTTACGAGTCGTGGTAGCGCAGAGGGTTAGCTCTCGTTGTAAATTTCATAGCACGCGAGCAAACCGGGTTCGATCCCTGACGGCACCAAATAAAATTGTTAATTGCAAATTTTAAATGCTGATTTACCACCACGTGCTCGGCGGTGAAGGAAAACATCGTGAGGAAACCTTCGAAATGAGAAAAAACATATTTACATGATGTGAAGTTCGTCAACACGCATTGGGACAGAGCGGCGGACACTTCCCTTCGGGTTGGCTATACTCGTAGATATTCCATACTTGATTTTAAATATGTTTTCAGTTTAGGCGGCTTGTCAGGGTTAAATTTGAACCTTTTGCACAGTTTTTGGGTGTCGGAAATGCGTTTTGAATTAATTACGATAAAAACAAATTTAACTAAAAATTTCTTATAACGAATATTAATTTGTTCTCGTATTATGAAATAGACGTCCGGTACTTGATTTTTTAATTTTCTTTTCAATTTATTAGCTTTTACAGGGTTAAGCTCGAACCTTTTACATTGTTTTTGGATATCAGAATAGCCTTTTGAATTAATTACGATAAAAATAAATTTCACTAAAAATTGCATATAACGAAACGCAAATATGTCAATTTGTTTTTTTTAACACTTGCCCTAAAACCATCTCAGAAATGAGCGGAGACATTTTCCCAGCGGTGGGACGTATATAGGATGTTGCTTTAATTTTCACTTTTACATTTACAACTTGCATTTTAAAATTAAAACAAAAATACTACGTTATGATTCTACTGTTCTATGGACGTTTCTTTTTGTAAAAATTCATAAAATTTGCAACGCTCTCGCTTTAATTATAAGCTACTCGTCAATTCAAGTATAAATAATTAACGTAATTACTCATTTAAACAGTTTCTCATGAAGATAAAGTATTGAACAATGGAAATGTGGCTGCAATCTTTACTTACCAACACTACGGTAACATTCTTACGAATAAATTTTCGTCACCATGAAAAAGTTGCGTCAAACATACTTAAGTACCTACATATATGCTTGAATTTAGTAATTTTGCAATTTACGTAACACAGCAGTACAGCTGTATTGTTCTGTTGTTTCGTGTGAGAGGATCGGGGGAGGATCGGATCCTTCCCCGGTCGTGCCGAATATCAGGGACTAACAATAAACGCAGAACAGGATTATAGCGATTGTAGTGTATGTGCAAGCACAGGTGTACTCTCTATTCTCTCTCTCATAGTCCGATGAGATAGTAAATCGACACGACCGGAGAGAGATCACGCGCAAGACCAACGGCTTTACCCGCTTTCCGTGGCACGGGGATAAAACGCAGTCAACTTCTTGACTGTGGGCAGTTAAAGTAGCAGAGCCGAAAACTCAATAACTTTTTGAATGATTTTTGTGGTCCTTCCCGGGATTTGAACCCCGGGACGACCACTAGATCAACGCATTAATAGTTTAGTTGCATCATAGATTTACTACATATAAATTATGTTTAATGCCTTTCACTGGATAGAGCTTTAATTTTCATTCTCATCTTGTCTGCTGGGAATCCAGCACTCTGCGTTTCTCCAAGAATTTTCTGCTACGCATGAACACGGTTCCTTCATGAAAAGAGCTTACTGAAAATTGTCGGCAACGCACCTGTAATTCCTCTGGTGTAGCTGATGTCTATAAGTAATTTCGATGGCTCCCCCGGCGCAGTAACTTAGCAATGAGTTGAAGAGCTAAGAGCAGCGTGTTCGAATCTCGTATGAATCAAGTATTTGTATGGCCTACAAACAATTGTTCCGGGTTTGGGTCTGGATGTTTGTCCTTGTGAAATTTATATATGTAAATTGCCCCCACGATACACACGCTCAGAAAAGAAGATACAGAACGATACAGAAAAGAAATAGTGTGGAGGTAACGTTTTTTAAAAGAAAAGAAAAAAAGAAAGGAAAGGAAAAAACCTCGTTTGCCGTTTGCGTATTTCGTATCGTCGAACAGAGAAACGTCATTTTGAAAAGGTAATAGATTAAAAATATTGTTTATAGAATTGGAGTGACATACGAATATAGACATAGCTACATTTATCCTCGATTAAGAATCAAAAAGTTGGACCTCTGAGGACTAAGATAGAAGTTTCCAGTGAAAAGGGTCTCGTCGGTCTCACAATACGAAACACAGCAGCATTAAGCTGCTATTTTACGCTGGTATTCTGAAAAAGCGTGCTCCTACTCCGTGTAAGCTGTAGTGTGGCTCCACCAGGTGAAAAATAAACCGTAGTATGATAAAACTACTTTTACGGATACCATACTTTCGTCGGAATTAAAAATGAAAGTAAAAAAGTAAAAAAAACGCGATGAATCCAAAAATTAATCATGTATAGTGTTCGCGTAAATATAAGAAATCATATAAACCGAAGTAGATAAAAAATTCATTTCAATAAATTTCATAAACGCGTATTAATGAAAGTTATCCTTAATTTGAATAACATTTTTATTACACATTAGGTTTTGTTATCGCACTACTTTTAATTAACCAATAATTATTCAACAATTGGGTAAGCAGATAACTGTGTTAGCGTAGCCTCGTTCCCATCGATTGTTCAATAATTACTTAACATTATTGAGTCGTATCTCAGCTAGTACTCGCAATACGTGTGTTAGGTACAAAAATATAATAGAAGTAAAAATGTAAACAGAAATAGATTATTTATTCAGTATAGATTATAATTAATGAATAACACTTATTGAACGTTATTCTTGTTTAATATACCACTTGTTCGGAAAATACTTTTGTCCTGGGAAAAACCACTAGATCCAGCCACGGTAATATTATCTATACAGTATTCCAACTTCATACAAACGGACGAAGCGAGAGCTATACCTACGCGCCTCGATCTCGGCATGCGCTCGGCATGCAGACAGTCGAGACTGTGCCGCAGTCATGATTTTGTGAAATATATAAAAAAATGGAGGAAATAAATAATAGAATAGAAATAAAGAAATAATAAAACTGGACTTCATTTAAAAACAAACATATAAATTGTAAAGTAGCTGCAGGTATCTATAACCAAGTAAAAGATATTCCTTTTCTCCATGTTGTCCATTTTTCCCACAATAATTTTTAATTTATATTATTTATAGCTTTATATCAGAAAGCGGATTTTTTATATTTAAAAATCTAATAATAAAGCATTTCGTAAGTCTCAGCCGAGGTGCAAATATTTTTCCGTCGCAAATTTATTTAACCGATTTGTTATTCAAACATAAACATGGTTTTTTAATTAAATCTACCAATCAAAAAACGACACGCATTTTTATTGAACACTTCCTATTCAATTCACAAAGTACCTATTTTATTTGTTTATATAAAAAGTATATTTACAATTATAAAACTAAATGGAAACACAAAGTAGGCAAGTGTAAAAATGCTGGAGGCAGGTAGCCCTATCACATGTTTACGTGCCGCATTTAGCATTTAGGCTGTAGGCATTTATTTGAAAGATACGGCCGAGTTACAATACTGTATAGATAATATTACCGTGACCCAGCGGTCGTTTTTTTATGAAGGAACAGCTTACAATCATAATTATATTGCACGATAAAATTATTATATATAATTATATAATATAGATAATTAAAGTACAATT